CCATCATTGTTATAATTATTTTTATCACTTTTTTTCGGTATCACAAAAGTGATAAAAATACATAAAATAGTAATAAAAATATCCACAAAAATAATAAATATCGATAAGATGCTAATTTTGTTTTTCCTAGTACCGTAGATAACTACAGTCAAAGGTAGTATTTTTTGTCATTCTTTATGTGTAGGGCATTGACTCTCATTTTTTAATTTGAATTTCTACCCATATAGTGTTCCTCTATTTTTATTAATGCAACTCCCTAGTGTTTAAGCTGGTGGCATTTGATAAGTGTTTCTTAGTAACGGGCCTGCGAAAGAATAATGTTATTCAGTATTTATATTCGTAACAAAAAAAAAATCGATATTATTATTGTTCTCTCTTAATGTAGATGGTTTCAATCTCTGAATTCAGCAATAAAATTCTAATATTAATCAAATATACGAGTAACATGATACCAATTGATGGGTTAAGCCCAAATAGTCCAATTTATGTATTAAAGTCCAACCCCGGTTGAGGAGCCCAACCTCATTGTGAATCCACCAAGTCCAAGACAGTCCAAGGCCGGTTAGACTTCTTGCTTAGCACGTCACCAAGAGGAGAGCACGGGAAGTTTATCTGCACCGCCTTAAGGAGCCCAAGGTTGGTTAAACTTCTTGCTCAGCACGTCACCAAGAGGAGAGCACACCGCCTTAAGGAAGANACGTAGGTCAAATTGACCGAACCACTATAAATTGTGTCTTCTCTAATTTTTTCGTTGATTTCATTGCATTTATTATCTATACTTGACAGGTGGTGTGCAAAACCATTTTTGTGCATCATCACCAACTTCATTGGCTATCTTTGCACATTTTTCAATCTCTTTCTTCTCCACTTTCGATGTTATTATCCGAGTTTCGTGCATGTAAAATGTCTTTCAAAATCTTACCTTTTTCCATACCTTTGAATCAATAAAATACCCGGCGACTGAAGCCATTGAAGAGTGGACGTAGGTCAAATTGACCGAACCACTATAAATTGTGTCTTCTCTAATTTTTTCGTTGATTTCATTGCATTTATTATCTATACTTGACAGGTGGTGTGCAAAACCATTTTTGTGCATCATCACCAACTTCATTGGCTATCTTTGCACATTTTTCAATCTCTTTCTTCTCCACTTTCGATGTTATTATCCGAGTTTCGTGCATGTAAAATGTCTTTCAAAATCTTACCTTTTTCCATACCTTTGAATCAATAAAATACCCGGCGACTGAAGCCATTGAAGAGTGGACGTAGGTCAAATTGACCGAACCACTATAAATTGTGTCTTCTCTAATTTTTTCGTTGATTTCATTGCATTTATTATCTATACTTGACAGGTGGTGTGCAAAACCATTTTTGTGCATCATCACCAACTTCATTGGCTATCTTTGCACATTTTTCAATCTCTTTCTTCTCCACTTTCGATGTTATTATCCGAGTTTCGTGCATGTAAAATGTCTTTCAAAATCTTACCTTTTTCCATACCTTTGAATCAATAAAATACCCGGCGACTGAAGCCATTGAAGAGTGGACGTAGGTCAAATTGACCGAACCACTATAAATTGTGTCTTCTCTAATTTTTTCGTTGATTTCATTGCATTTATTATCTATACTTGACAGGTGGTGTGCAAAACCATTTTTGTGCATCATCACCAACTTCATTGGCTATCTTTGCACATTTTTCAATCTCTTTCTTCTCCACTTTCGATGTTATTATCCGAGTTTCATGCATGTAAAATGTCTTTCAAAATCTTACCTTTTAGGATTTCTCTCGTACTAATCAAAGACGAAAGTTAATATTAAAAAAAAAGAAATACTTTGCTGGTGACACGTCACACAGGCACTTTTCAAGGGTTTTATTTCCAGGAAAATGAAACATTTCATTGTTCTCCTTAATCAGAGGTTAAAGAGCCATACAGTCACCGACATTGCCTTTTCCCTGTTGCCACAAGCTTTCCGCCTATTAATAGGCCCAAAGGACCGACAAAAGTTTTCTTGCCCAGTAATTTCAATGTCCAGAGTTCTGGGAGAAACGTAGGGCATGTTTGGTTTGATTTTTAAACCCTATTTTTTTTTTCTCAAAATTCTAAAAACAATAAAAAGTGGTTTGTTTTGATTTTTTGTTCTTCAATTTTCAAAAAAAAGGGAGAAATAAAGCACAAAAATTGAAAACAACTCCAGCTTGTATTCAATTGTTTTGGAGACAAAAGAAGAGAAAAAGGCAAAACACGGAGATCTCTTTTTTATTTAATGAAGTCTTGCCTTCGAACTTCCTTAGCAGCAAAAAGACTATTGCATTTCTCCCTTTTTTTTTTCTTCTTTTCTTAAGCCTTCTTGTCTCTGTCTCTCTCTCACTCTACTTCGGCAACCAGACGAACAATCTCAAGCATCTCTCTCTCTCTTTCTCTCCAATGATCTCAAGCGTCGGCTCCAACTTTAGATCTGAGTTGATCTCTTTCAGATCTGGGTTGATCTCCTTCAAATCTGGGTTGATCAGATCTAGGCGATGTTTGTGTGTGTGCATGCGCGCATGTATATATATATATATATATATTGTGTGTGTGTGTATTGTATATAAAGGTGATTGATATATTTTTTAGATAAATGTCATTAATATATTTTTTTAGATAAAAATTATTGATATATTTGTTTATATTGATTTTATTTTTGATGAAGATTATTGAATATGCTTGATTTATTTTAAAATTTGTTTTATTGTATTTTTTTTTATGAAATTGTCAATCTAAAAATAACTTTGTTATAATTTTTTTATTAATTTTTGAATTATTGTTTAAATATATAGTTATACTGTCCAAACAGATTTTACTATTTTCAATTTTGTAAAATTGTTTTTGAAATCATTTAACCAAACAAGTTTTTCATCGCAGAAAACATTAAAATACACTTTCTTAAAACTCTTATAAAAAACTGTTTTCAAATACTATTTTTTCAAACGCAAATCAAACAGGTCTGTAGCTTCTCGGTATCATACTTAATCATATATTTGTATTTATAGATGCATATCGGTATTATAATATAATGGTAATACAAGTTTTAATGTGTGATGTAGTTGTTTAATTAATATAAAAAAAGATTTAGTGTACGAGACTCTTGTCACTACAAAAGATGACAAGAGTCTCCGTATACAAAATTAAGAACATCTTTAACGCCACAGATAGAATGTGACAAGTCCAAATCCTGTTGGGTCAGGCTCAATTAGCGAGGTCAACTCAAATTAGTTATAAAGCGGGTCAAGTCCAACTCATCTATGCGATCCAATCCAAAGGTCCAAGGGGTCCAAAAAGATTAGAGGACGTGAGAAGCAACTCAGAATAGTCACAATCGAAGATCAAGACAATCTTTAATTGTACTTATCCTTTGTTGCTATCCTCCTTAAAAAATTAGTGTCTTTTCTCTCACATCACCGCTCAACTAAGACTTTGTGTCTATAAATTGTAAACTCTCTCTATACGAGAGAATATCTCTCTACATACCTCTCACATAGTTATTTCTCTCTCCTACCTACCATACCTCTCCCAGAAACTTACCTTTGCCCTCTCTCTTTATTTTATTATTAAAGGTTCTTCAGCCATCGTTATCGCTTTCGGAGTGAAACAGGTCTCCTGATCGAACTACTATATATCTATGTATTGACCAAGTACTTGTCTTTTACTATTAATTGCTTATTGATTGCGCCATTTAATTATCCCATTTAATTATCCAAATTTACATACTTGACTGTTAATTATGCATAAGTCTATTTTGTGCATCATCGGAATGTTCCAACCAAAAAACTCATAAAATGGTCAGCTTCTCTTTAATTGACCTTTCAATTTCAACCAGTACGGCTAGGATCCTCAAAATTCTAGAGAAATTACATTGTAGTGTAATAAAAATTACATTTATTACCCAATAAAAAATCCTCAAAAATCCATAGACAAAAGTTCCTCTCTTTAATTGACCTTGTAATGTAATAAAAATTACATTTATTACCCAATAACTTTTAACCCTACTGTATTCGTTCGGGCCTGGTCCAAAGTCAATCCAACAATGAACAAGCCCTCAATCCTGTCTGGGTGGGCTTTCAAAGAGCGGCTTGAAGGGCTCACGCAAAGGCCATAAAAAATCTGTTTAAGCGAAAGCACTTTTTATAAAGAGCAATGTTACTGTGATTTAAAATTTTGATCTAATTTGTTAACTTAATTTATTAATCTTTGGATTGGTTGTAAGTCTCATCAAACATTGGAACTTAGTGTTGATCCGATGATTCCTATTAAACTACATCATTATGTCAATAAATTAGGTCAAATTTTTAGATTTAAATAACATTACTCTTTTATAAAATGATAAGGCGCAAAACAAAAACTTAAAAAAAAAAAAATAATTGTACTAGAGATCCCTAAAATATAATATTTATCTCATTTTAATCTCTAATATTTTAATTATATTATTTTAGTTCGTAAATTATTGAATATATTTTTATGAAATCCTTCCAGTAGACAACGTCTAGATTGCTAACGATTTTTTTATTATAAATTTGTTACGTGATATTTAAATATAGGCAAAAAAATAATTTGAATAACTTTTGACTAATTTTTATCCAAATTTTGGTCAAAAAATTACCCAAATTACAAAATTTTGATCATAGACTATCCAAATTTGAGTCAAGAACTAATTCAAAGTTTGATCAAAAATTAGTCAAATTATTTTTTTGTTCATATTTAAATATTACGTGACAAATTTATGGTAAAAAATTATTAACAATTTGAATACTATATATTTGAAAGACTCCGTAAATACATATTCAATATTAATAAACTAAATAAAACAAACTTCATTAATCCACACAACAAAACAAAAAAAAAAGCACTTCTTTTTCTGACTCACCGATTTATCTTTTCTTCCCATAAAAACGCACTTTACGCAGTAAATTAATGTAGAAAATAAAAAGTAGAGAGAGAGAGAGTAAAAAACATGTACCATTCCAAGTGCTGTGAGCATCAAAACCCAGTTGGAGTGAAGCAAAACAACGCATGTTGTGTGTTTCAATCTCTGCCTTTAACCCCTCTTCTCAATCTCATGATTCACTTGCCTGAAAATTTAACTCTTAACATCCCTGATCTGTCAGTCTCTCTCTCTCTCTAAGTTTGGATTGCTGAGAGCGAGCCATGAGAGCATCCCTTTTCTTTCTCACTTGCTTAACCCTCGTGGTCGCATATGTTCATCAATTTCAAGCTCATGCTGCTCCAGCAGGTAATACCCATTTCTCTATTTACACATATACTCATAGTTAATACGCATTCTGTGATGGGTAAGCTTATTTTATTTTGTTTTCATTTATATGTATATGAACGTGTTAATGGTCTTGCTAACACAGCGCCCTTGATAAAGCACTTGTCCTCTCTTGTCAAATGGACGGCTAGGTCTTCCTCCAAAACACCCTTATCAGGTGAATCAACGTTTTCGCTAATGTTCTCAAATTTAATTGGGTGTTTATAAGGATATTTATATGTGTTTGTGTGTGTGTGTGTGATTAACGAAGAATTTAATAGTATATCTGTTGATGCAGTAGTGAACAGACTTTGTTTTGATGTTATGTAGATGGAAATGTACTTCAATTTGAAAATGGATACCTAGTTGAAACTGTTGTGGAAGGAAATGCACTTGGGGTCGTGCCTCACTCGATCCGTGTATCAGAAGATGGGGAACTCTTTGCTGTTGATGCATTAAATAGCAATATTGTTCGAATTACTCCACCATTGTCCCAATGTAAGCTTATGTCTTTATTTTCTTTTGCGTTATTATCCATTAGATTAGGATTCACTAGCCCATGATAAATATTATTATTGTTTATCTCTTGCCAGGGGCGGCTCAAGAAAATTTGAGGCCTAAAGCGATATTTATAAATGAGGCTTTTTTTTTTAATTGTTTGTATCGTTCATTTCCCTATTCATTTTTGTGGTATTGTCAACTTAAGTAAAATTTTATTAATTTTAAAATTTTCTTTACTAATATATTTTCTTTTTCTTTTTCTTTTTTGTATATTTTGCATCCAGGATTGTTGTTTTGCATGGTTAATTCTTATCATGAATATTTTTTTATTATTATTTTGTTGTATTATTTTATTATTACTTATTCTTTTGGATCTATTAATTGTTTTGTTTGCAGGACTTTAACTTATTTTTCTATGACGTTTTGTTTAGTTGTAGGAATAAAGAGATCATTTTGAGATTCAATTATTTTAAAATTGTCATTTTTAAGAAAAAAATTTCATATCCAAATGATTATTTTCTAGTTCCATATTTATAATACATAATCAACAAATTAGCTCTAAATAATCATATGGTATCTATAATTACATAATATATGATTAGCTTAAAATTATAAAAAAAATACAGTTTGATTTGTCACGGTTATTTACATCATTAAAATTTGATATATTATTTCTTTGTTGATCAAAGTTTGTAAAATAAGTGGTTTATATTAGGTGAGTTTGATTTGGTGTATGATTTAAGATAAAAAGTTGCGTGTGTGTGAGAGAGAGAGAGATGGAGTTTTGTTTGTGTTTAATTGGAGATGTAAGAATGTGAGTGTGTGTGTGAGAGAGAGAGAGGAGAGTTTTGCTTTTACAGTTTTTGTTTTACTGCATTGAGTTTTGACCGTTGCAATAAGATGTGTGGGCTGTATTTTTGGGCTCAACCATGAAATCTAAAATTTAGTTGTTTGATGCACACTTTATTGGAAATTTTTGTGGAATTTATATTGTCACGTATTTAAAAATTTGGGATGAAATACACTGTACATTAGAAAATATGAGGCCTTTTTTGTTATTTGGCTCTCCCCAAATTAACCAACAGTAGGCCTCAGGTGAGTGGAGTATTTTTATCCTTTTCCAAAATCTTAGATTAGAATTGGGGTTAGTTTTTTTTCATAAACTTTTATAACAACCAGACAGAGTACAAGTGTCGTTGAGTGAAAAAAATAATTCTGAATTTGTGTATTAAAGGTAATGTCTTGGTTTTCATCTAAATTGGCTTATCCTTAGTTGTTGACTTTTCAATATCTCTATTGCTGCAGATAGTAGGGCAAGATTGGTTGCTGGGTCATTTCAGGGTTACACAGGGCATGTTGATGGAAAACCAAGTGATGCTCGTTTTAACCATCCGAAAGGGGTAACAATGGATGATAAGGGGAATGTATATGTTGCTGATACCTCAAATCTTGCCATCAGAAAGATAGGAGNGTAGGAATAAAGAGATCATTTTGAGATTCAATTATTTTAAAATTGTCATTTTTAAGAAAAAAATTTCATATCCAAATGATTATTTTCTAGTTCCATATTTATAATACATAATCAACAAATTAGCTCTAAATAATCATATGGTATCTATAATTACATAATATATGATTAGCTTAAAATTATAAAAAAAATACAGTTTGATTTGTCACGGTTATTTACATCATTAAAATTTGATATATTATTTCTTTGTTGATCAAAGTTTGTAAAATAAGTGGTTTATATTAGGTGAGTTTGATTTGGTGTATGATTTAAGATAAAAAGTTGCGTGTGTGTGAGAGAGAGAGAGATGGAGTTTTGTTTGTGTTTAATTGGAGATGTAAGAATGTGAGTGTGTGTGTGAGAGAGAGAGAGGAGAGTTTTGCTTTTACAGTTTTTGTTTTACTGCATTGAGTTTTGACCGTTGCAATAAGATGTGTGGGCTGTATTTTTGGGCTCAACCATGAAATCTAAAATTTAGTTGTTTGATGCACACTTTATTGGAAATTTTTGTGGAATTTATATTGTCACGTATTTAAAAATTTGGGATGAAATACACTGTACATTAGAAAATATGAGGCCTTTTTTGTTATTTGGCTCTCCCCAAATTAACCAACAGTAGGCCTCAGGTGAGTGGAGTATTTTTATCCTTTTCCAAAATCTTAGATTAGAATTGGGGTTAGTTTTTTTTCATAAACTTTTATAACAACCAGACAGAGTACAAGTGTCGTTGAGTGAAAAAAATAATTCTGAATTTGTGTATTAAAGGTAATGTCTTGGTTTTCATCTAAATTGGCTTATCCTTAGTTGTTGACTTTTCAATATCTCTATTGCTGCAGATAGTAGGGCAAGATTGGTTGCTGGGTCATTTCAGGGTTACACAGGGCATGTTGATGGAAAACCAAGTGATGCTCGTTTTAACCATCCGAAAGGGGTAACAATGGATGATAAGGGGAATGTATATGTTGCTGATACCTCAAATCTTGCCATCAGAAAGATAGGAGAATCAGGTGTGATCAATTGGTGCCACTGTCAAATATTGTATATTCTTATGAACAATGTTGAAGTAAAAGCCTTTGAGTCATAAAACGATACTGAAATTTTTTTGAAATGCTATTTCAGAATTATAGGATGTTTGTTGAAATGGGAAAAAGTAGGATTTCACTTTTTCCTTTTAATGGGAGATATCATGGTATTGTCTTGAAACTAACAGTTATTGAAACTAACAGTTATTCAAGTTTTAAAAAAAATCGTTGCAGGTGTGACAACCATTGCCGGAGGAAAATCAAATGTTGCAGGTTACAGGGATGGGCCAAGCGAGGATGCAAAATTCTCGGCTGACTTTGACGTGATTTATGTTCGGCCCACCTGCTCATTGCTAGTCATTGACAGAGGAAATGCTGCTCTTCGGCAAATCTCTCTGAACCAAGAGGATTGTGATTACCAGTACAGTTCCATTTCAGCCACAGGTTTGGACCCCTGCACGTTGTTTTATAAGCTTGCTCTTGATACTTCAGCTCTAGATTTTACTGATTTGAAGTGCACAATTATGCCACGGACCTTCATTTTCTTGGTGCACTGTTAATGTAGGAAAGTCAAGCTCTGTGTGTAGTTAATTTTCTTGTTGTGCGTAAATGATTAAGGTGTCTATTTGTAAGTAGTTAACATATAAGTTCATTGAAAATTGTTTTATTTGATTATACTGATTTATTCTTTAGTAAACGAGACATTCATATAGGTCAGAGAAAGGCTATCTTCCTGCTAATATGTACCCTAATGGGATATTTCTGTCTCCTCTGATCTACTCTCAGTAATGGAAGAGATCAAATTACGTATGCAACATCTTCATAGAGCATGCTCAACTTTGACCACTGTTTGTAAAATAACAATAACCATGCTCAGACAGTCAGACTGCATGAGAAGGTTAAGATGATGTCACTGTAAGTTTTGTTGTATAGAATCTTTAGGCTAAAGAGTGTAATTGACGAGTGCTATAAGTGGGAACGAGACCAGAGAAACTTCTTAGGTGATTCAACCAGCAGAACTTGGTTTTACTTGTGTACTTACATCAACTATGGCAGCAAAAATAAGGAAACTCTCCTGTTTGAGAACTTTTAATGGAGCATTGGGATAAATTATGGAACTTTGTATGCAGAGGAAAAAGTGGTTTAGTATTGTTAAACGTGGACAATCTACAATTTGATATTGTATCCTTACAATTAAGATGAAAAGAATTTTCAGATCACCAAGAAAATGTGAGACAGCAGTTAAGATTTATGATGGCATGGAACATCTTATACCAGACTTGACTTTCTTGAATGGCATTCACCAAGTTTGGTGTGGGTGTATACTTGCTTATTGTAGCCAATGTGGAGTATTCCAAATGCAAATGGGAACTTCCAAACTTTGTTTATGTAAAGGAGTATGAAAGAGAGATATCAGACATGGTATGTGATGCTTTTTAAATTTTATGCCTAAACTGGTGTAAATTCACACTCATCTTAGCCAGTCACTTGTCAAGGTAGATGGTGCTTTAATCAGATAAAGCATTCCAAGTAAATTGGCAGTTCCATACGGAGTCATGTCCCTAAGTATTTGGGTCTCTGTTGGAATCGCAACTTAACTTGCTGCAATTTCTTGTGACTTTCCCCTGCAAAGGAAAGGAGGGAACCATTAGTATGTGTTACTTTGTACATGACGGATATAGGTGAACCCTGACACATCAGATTCAAGGATTAATTTTAGTTTGATATTGCTTTACCAATGTATGATTTACTTGTTGCTTTTCTTGGCAGATGTGTTTATGGTTATTGGTGCCGTCTTGATAGGATATGCTGTCTGCATGCTTCAGCAAGGTTTTCGACCATCCGTAGTTACAAGAATGGTATACTCTTGATTCATGGTGTCACCTTTGTTTGTTCCTTGCGCCAACAACATCAAGGAAAAGAGATGAAATTTATATTCTGATAATAACTCTTCTGCCTAGATATTGTTTAACACGTAAGTTTCTGAATTTCATTACCTTCCCTGCCATATGTCAACCAGATGAAATGATATACTTTTCCTGGACATCAAAGCATTGGTCTGCCCCCACTATGAAAATAATAGCTGCCCAAAATTGTGTGAGAATCTGGTTTCTACATGATGCCACCTTGTAGGAGGCAGCCCAACCAGGAAAACAAATTACCAGTCTGAACTTAATAGCTGCCTCCCAATTTGTGCGTGATTCTGGTTTCTACGTTATGCCACCATACAATTTTATTTGGTGTTTGAGATGAATATATAAAGTGACTACTCTTGTCTTCTTGGAAAGTAGATCTGTGAGTTCCATAGACCATCGTGCTATTCGACTCTGTGGCTTTTAGTATTTCTGACTTTATTTGTGAATCAAGAAGTCGAAGTGTGAAACCAGTCTTTTTGTTCTCCAGTGGAAATGTGGTTCTTATTTGGTTAAATAAATTTTCTTTCACATTACTCCGTATTATTGACTCCATGTATGGGTGCGGCAACAGCCGATGGAGGAGATTAACTCGCAAGAACAACTGAGCAAGGAGAAACCCACTCCTATTGTGGAGACTGTAAAAGAAGAACAAGTAGCAGGGTGGCCATCTTTTGGACAGCTCATCGTGGATCTGTGCAAGCTTGGCCTTGAAGCATCAGGTAGCATCTTCCTTTACTTAATGCCCTTCCGTTTCAAGCGAAACGGCCATGGAAAAGGCTCTGGGAATGGTTTAACTCCGCTGAAAGATTCCCTCATAATGCCCGAAGATGAAGCTGAACCCCCTTTAGTTCAAAAGCAGAGGACTCCAGCTTCTCTTTCTGAATCCCGGCAGGCTCATACTCCAAATTCCAGTGATCAGTATTCAGAAATGAAGCCCTCAAAGATGCGATCTACAAGTTTCAAAGATCCTTCTTTGTCAAGCAAGCACAGATCCTCAAAACGACAAGAGCATGCTGAATATTATGCATCAGGTGAGGTTCCTCCATATGTTCAGGTCAGGTCCAAGAGCCAGAAAGAAAGAACGAAGCATCGCCAACGTGACAAAAGTGGAGAAGTCGGTTTTGGAGCAAGCGGGATGGACCCGAAACCAGCTGAGATGAAGCCAGTGAACTATGATGATCGGAAGTATGATCATTACAATGTCAGGACCAAGTATGGAGATTCGTTTCGTTATGATTAGGCTGCATTGCTTAGTGACTGCTCTTACAACGTTGTATTGACCATGGAGTCTGTACATTTTTTTTTTGTGCTGTTTGTCTGTAATTCAACCGATACCCGAGGCAAGGACTTGTTCATTTAGAGGCCAGAAACTTGTCTGTCTCTGAAGATGTGTGTTAGATTCAGGATATTCTGAACATCAGTATCCTTGATGGCTTCTTCTTGTAATCCAGTTCTGCTTTAGAAATTGACAAGCAGGTTAACGCCTAAGTTGGTAGCTCTCAGTAGGCTTTTCTGTTATTCGCAAGAGATGTGTACACCTAGTCTGGATTGATCACTAAATTTTACTCCCAATAGAATAACTTTCTTGATGGGTATTTAGATTGTAATGTTGTCAAAGCTTTGCCATTTTCAAGAATTCGACTTGACTCGGCAAGTTAAAATCAAGAAATTAAATTTTGTTTTAAAAAAATAAAAACCTTCCGACTTTCATAAAAATCAAAACAAATTATTAATTAAATATTAAAATTCTTGTATTTTGATGTGTTTCAACTATTTTGACCCATGTTTAAAAAAATATACCATTCTAGTATATGATCCGGGTGACCATGTGAGTAGTCAATGTTCACTGAAAAAAAGAAAAGGCACCTAATGGGTGATCATGTGTTTAGTCGATGTTCGCAACTTTCCTGGAATCTTTTTATAGCACGAGTCGAATCACATCTAAGACCCAAGATCGAGCACCAAAGCTTCAACACACCTAAAACACAAAGATCGAGCACCAAAGCTTCTTTATGATGATTCGGCCCTCATTGAGGACCCAAGATGGAGCACCAGAGCTGCGTATAGCAATGTACCATGAAGAATACAACATAGTAAATTGACAAACCTTTGCCAACCACATCTTAGTACCTTGTGGTAACTTTAGGTAAATGCAATAACATGCAAATCCTTAGAACTGAGTAGGACTAGTTGATTTGTTGTCGCTTCATTGCCAATGTAACATTTAGTCTGACAAAGCATGCACCCCTAATTTCTAGTGATGTTGCAATACACATGACAAAGGAGTCTATCAAAAGGCCTCAAACTAAACCAACCCCTAAAGGAAACAACCAAAACTATATCAAGAAAAACATAAAAGTATCTGAGTAGGACTTGCGTTCTAATTACCGGTGGACTCCCTCCCTGTCTCTCTGTTGTCAAGGACGTACCAGTAAATTCACAATGCACAGTAAGTATTCTCTTAGTCTCCTCTCCTTACACCTTCTTGAAGAACGACATAATATTCCCCTGCTTAGGATCCTTATTTCCTGCTTTTTTGTTTCCTGTTTTACCCGCTTGATTAGATGGTGCATTGCTTCCGAATGCAGGTGATTTCTTTGCTGGGGGTGGCCTGAATCAAAAAAGTTACTTTGAGAAAACAGACACAGAGCATAATACTTCAGCAAGGGAAAATGTGTAGCAATAAATCTATACAAAGCCTTCCAGTGCTAAAAAAGCTCAATAGCAAAAACAAAGGGGGAATCAGAACTCACAGATATATGATCTCAGCTAACTTCCCATAAAAATCCCGCATTTTCTAATGCAACAGTTCCAAAGGTCACAATAATAATTATTGTAAATGTTCAGTTTATGGTGTTAAATTGAAACCAATGACCACAGTCATCTCACCACAACAATTTCCGATAGTTTCAGCTCCATTTTTGGAAACGCAAACATAAAAACATACTGACAAAAAATTGGTGTCACAATGACAGCTGAGGATCTTCTCAAATTAGACTGCATATATAATATCATCCTAATATGAGATGGATAGGTCTGGGCATGGGCATCCGATATTTCCACCAAAAGCAGGAAGCAATTTCTTTCTGTTGCATTTCATTAGATTTTCATTTTGGACAATTTTTATTGCGTTATGAACTTTATGTCAATCTTGTAGCAATGCCAACACAATGCAATTGCATATTTATGCTGTAGATCCATTTTCTTGCCTCTGCAGAATTTATTTCACACACCTGATGAAACATGAAACAAAAGAGTGCTGGGACAATAAGCAACTTTCCATGGACCACCGATCATGACATAGTGTCTAATTTTTGAGTGAGTAATTATAGCTTAAGTAATTTCAGAAGTAAGCATACATAGTAAAACATAAGCAAAGATAATGAAGGACAAATATATTTACCTGTTAACAGTACTGTTCACTGTACGATTGTTAGCTTTCTTCATTGTATTACTGTCAGGTTTTGTCTCTGGCTCCTCACCCTCCCAAACAACCTCAGTTACTGGAGCCATAACACGAACCAATCAAACAAAATAACAAGGGTAAAAGTAGAAATCGACAAAAAGTATGTACAGTCTTAACAGAACACCTCTGACAAAATAATATATTTAAAGTTCTCCATTGTTTGTCCGGGAACAGAAAAAAAGAAGTTAATCTTCCATAAATACTTTTTGTAACTTCTACAATTTCTGGACCACAAATATATATACTGTTGCCAAAGATTTTCCAATTCCTCAAGTAACTTATATCATGCCCAAGCAAAAGATCAAAATAGCATCAGGAAGTTGAAGAATTATTCATTTGTTCTCAAAAATATGTCCAGAATTAAGAAGTAAGAGTTATATAGGCAGAGCTGAGAGCAAGTTACAAATAACTCTATAAAGATATCAATAAAATATGGGACATTGGCACTCATCATGGATAAGTCACATTAGCAAAGGAAGAGGCAAGTAACAAAGGGTCTTTTTAGTGCGATCATCATACAAAGTACTTTAAAATGCATTTTGAAAAGAGTGAATAGTTTTGGCATCACGTGCTTTGTTTAGCATTGTTCTGCAAGCAAAAGATGGAAAACTCACTACATCATTCTAAATCTTCAGAAAAATATGATTTTTTCTAAGACAATAATGTTCCCTAAAAGCTTATGCAACAAATTTCCGTTCTTGTTTTTAGGTTTGCACAATAGGGACCATAGCAATATATTCTAAAATCTGCACCAAACAGGCCCCGGAAATCTTCACAACAATAACAATGACAGACAGAGTTAAAGATCCAACCAAATAAAGTGAACCAGGTTTCTTCCATGGTTATACCTTCTCTCCCACGTTCATCAATCCTTGTCTTTAAAACTTTTCTCCTTTTAGGTGAATTTGGAGCATCATCAGTCACTTTATCCATTGAACTTGCGTCACTCACCGGAATATGGTTTGGGAACTTGTCCAAAGAGGAAATCCCAGTGTTATTGCTTTTATTGGCAGCTGAGGATTCTTCCCTTGATAGTTGGCTAGATTTTATGGCAGTTTCTTTCTCTTCCTTGACCTTTGGTTTATCTTCCTTTTTTTCCTCAAAGTTTAAACTGTTTTTCTCCGGAAGTGAAGTTTTAGAACTTTCTTTTGAATCCCCAGAAGATGGTTTTTTTGGAGGATCTGGTGATGCTAGATTGACAGCATCTTTGTACTCATCTTCTTCATCTGAGAAATCAAACACCACCCTCCGCTTTCTACTGCCCTCACCGTTGGATGTTCTCCTGATGTTGAAATTTTGACCATCGTCATCAATATTCCCATCTTCTGCTTCACGAGCACATACTTGAGCTTCTGAACTAGCTAACATAATAAAGAAAATTTTAAAATAAAAGGAAATGAACAGTTGAGTGAAGCAAAGCCTCTTTTTAAATCAAGAAGAAAAAAAAATCCATTTTTTTTTTCCTATTGAGACTTGATAAGGGAACCAACCAGCAGATTTTGTAATGGAATTAATAGTTTCTGCAGCAGGGCAATTAGACTTTGAATTTACAGATACACGACCCCACATATTAGCTAATGAGCCTCCAGATCCAGAAAAGCTTTTATCATTCTGGCTCGTCGTTTTACTAGCAGGCAATTGAAGAACATTTTCCTTCTTTGGAGCAGGCTTGTTACCCTGTTCATGACCACTTGTGCCATGACTTTCACTTTTGACATTCTTAACAGCATTGGGAGACCACCCAATATTTGGGCTTGATAGCTGAGTTTTTCTTTGCTGAGGTTGTGAAACAGTTGCAGTTTGCTGTGCAGAATTAGTTTTGGACTGCCCTTGGACTGCACTTTTGGCCAGTGGAGCAGCAGTGCTTACAGGTGTTCCTTCAGAATTGCGCTTGACAAAGGAATTTGAAACCCCACAGAACCTGAGAAATTTATGTTGTGAGTGACGCATAGGAACCAAGATTTGTTGAGTAACGAATGTGTAATTGACCCCATCACAAACTTGTACTAAGTTCATGGAGTAGTGGACACATTTGACTCGCAATATTTTCATTTCCTATAGTTCCAAAGTGAAACACTTTTAAAAGTATGCGCCTTTGAATGAGATGCTGATATTCACACAAATAACCTCCCTGATTAGTTCATAAATCTAATCAAATATACATATTCACCTATAAAGTCTTTTTACCATTGCTATAAATTAAATGCATTTAATATATAATCACCAAAATTTTCATGCAATTGATCATGAAATATGTCAGTATTTGGAACCCACAGTAATTGGACATGCTACATGAAGTAATAGCTTCCTTCTACGAAGCCGTGAGGAGGTATACATGGCATCATTCATCTGTGAGCAGCCATCCACACCCCTAAGATGAAATGATGTTCTTAAAATACATATGAATTATACCTATTATCTCTCAGACAATTATCAACTGTGGGGGGCTGCTTAAAGAGCTCTTCTGCTTGCACAAATTCAGTATTCCAGATGGCTGCCGGATCCTTTGGGATGCAAGCTTGGACACTATAGACATGAACTGAGCAATTGCCATCAAATTCTTGTTTGGCTTCTGCAAATAAGTCAACAAAAGAGAATCCCATATCAGTCAGCCAATCCTCATGCTGGCCGACTGTATCAAAATTCAGTCATGGTGCAGACAAATATAAAAAAACTAACAGATACACAGAAAAGGAACAGTCCACATCATTCTGGCTGAAAGTTATGAAATTTAGCAGTGTCATTCAGTGTAATACGTAAAAGAGTAGGAGAGTTACAGATAAACTCTGCACTCAAAGCCAAAGAAGTAGGCCAAGAAAGCAAACACTGAGAAACCATGCATTCGCTTATATACTGGCATAGAGTCCAATAACTCATGTAAAACAAGGGGCAATCAACTATGAAAAAAAGGCAGAACAGGAAAACAGACAAACAAAGAAGATTCATAAAGCAAATTGACATCAATTTGCAACACCATAGTCTAGTAGAAAATCAAACCTGCAAGTTTAGGCCTGGAAACAAGCCTTATATGGTAAACTGAAGGATTATTCTTCAACCAGCCAGATAACGTATATACTATTTCTATCCCACTTCCATGCTTTTCAACAAACTCTTGAAGCAATCTACAGAGAAAATTGAACATGTAATTTTGGCAATTCAAAACTAAAACCAATTATAGTTTGGAAACCCATCCTTCATAAGATCTCTTACCTCTTTGCAGCATTTGATGACACCAAAAAATTGCGACTCAGCCACTTGTAGGACACCTGATAGAAAGAGGTATAAATTTCAGCAGCCCACATAATCAACTCATGCAATATAACAACCCCAATTTCCAGACCTATGTTTTGATTTGTCCAAAAAGGTGTTTTTTAAAAGCAATATCATTGAAAGCGTCTCCTTTGAAGAGGGTCAGAGACACCCTTTGCTAGGTTACAACTACGGAAAGTCTTTTCCGCCAATCCCATTAACTTGTTCAAGAAAATGCACCAATCAGCTACAGAAACCAATTTCCAAAGCCTCACTTAATATGTAAATCATTTTTGCTGAGCTTCAGTGGCACAAAGTTTATGTTCCGCATTCTAATTTCTTTGAACTTTTAAATTACCCAGAAAATTAGAAATAAGGAATGTATAATCACATAAAATATAAAACTGGTACATATAAGTAGTAATAATAACAGTTGAAATATATGATAGTGCAAAACAAAAGAATAGAAGAAAACAATTGGGGCGAAACAAATGGTAAATCCCTCGATGGAATTTAACCAAAAACTGTAAACTGATTATATGTAAGATCAGATCAACACAACAGTAAGTACATAAAGAAACACGCATAGTGAGAGAGAGAGAATTACCACTTGAAGCTTATCGGAGACGAGGATTTGAATCTCGTCGATAATACCTAGGGTTTCGATTTCGGCCATAATTGAGTCCGCCGGAGATGGGTCGTATCTCCCAAAAGCGCTCTCTCTCTCTGGGTGTGACCGTCAAGAGGGTTGAAGAAACGACAATATGACTTATTTAGTTTTCCCTCCGTAAGGGACCTTATTTCCCGCCTTTGGGGGTTTCGTTGTGATATGGATGCTGATGGAGTCCCTTAGGTCCTCGTGGCATTGCTTGCAGCAGTGTAGTGTAATTTTATCCATTAATAATATTTATATTTTTTTAAAAAATTTAAATAAAATTATATGAATTGTTGAATTAAATAAATTTTTTTATTGATATGAATATTGACACAAATACGATACGTATCGAAAGTAATACAACATAATATGATTAAGACCCGTAATTATTTTTTCTTATATAAAAGCCTCTTTTAACGTATAAAATAGTTGTTAATATAATAAATATTTAGTGTAACGGTTATACCACATTGTATTGTCACGTGATTTAGTTATTAAATATTAAATAAATAAGTTGACAAGATAATCAATTAGACAATTATACCACCTGGTAATGTCACATTGGGTTCCTAAGTTTGTCATAGTAAACCAACCCTTGATTAATTACACACTGGTCCCTGTTTTTTGTAATAATAACATAAAACCCGCTAAAGCTTGTGAGTATAACCTATAGATCTGAAGCTCTTACCTTAATCGGGTTTCTCTTCACCCATTTGTGTGTCTTTTCCCGTATTTCAAATGTGGTGTCGTGCATTCTAACTTTTAAATACCAAATTTGGATCAATTAACACTATAATTAAACAATGATATGAATGATATAACGTGACACTACTGATAAAATGCTACTGTCACTAAACATCATCCCACACTAATGAATTCACTTGAGCCAATGACGTGACTAAGCGTGTTTTGTAATCTCATTTAGATCAACTTAACGTTTACGTTTCTATATAGTGTTGCTCATAACTAAGGGAATGGTCTTGTTACTCTTGTATCAATTTTGAACCGTTTGTTTATTGGGTTTGGGAAGGTTTGGAAGGGGGTTTAAGAAAAAAAGTTTGCGTGTTTGATTAACGTTTTTAAACCCACATACATGGGGTTGAGCAAACCCATGGAGAGTGGATTTCATATATCATGGCCTAGGTTAACTATACCAAATGACCCTTCTATCCCTAACAAAATATTTTATCTATTAGATCACATCCCAACCACCCAATTACTCCTCTATGTAATTAAGTAAACATGGGTATGAATTTAATTGGCTAAAGGGTAATATAATCATTTATAAAACAAATGTGTTACTTAATTGTGATGTATCCGTAAAACTCACATGTGCATATGTTACTTAACAAACACGAATATAGATGTATGCATAGGATTCTTATACAAATCCCATGTACATAAAAGTAGTAGGAGTTGGGTTTGAAAAGGTTTGATAAAACCAATCCAATCCCTCACCCTAAAACCATCCAAACAAGCCCTTAGAAAGAGCAGATTCGAAACCATATACCCTGGTCTCTGTGTTTGATGCCGCACATTTTTATTAAAAAAAAAATGTACACTTCAGAAAACCATGCACCATTCAACAGAATTCACTCTGTAGAATAACTCAATGTAAGAGACATGTTAAGTAGATTATTGGTTCTCCTAGTGGCTGATCTTCCATAGACAGACGGTCCTTGCAAAGGGTGTATTTCAGCTGGTTCAGTATAACAGAGAAAGCCTTATGATTTGATGCTCTAAACAAACAAATTATCACTTGAAAACTGTAATTTATTTACACTAATATCACAAACAAACCTCTTCTTCCATAGCTGCATTTGCCAAAATTCGGACCCTCCTGCAAAGAGGGTGCTGGCAAGGAACCTTTGCTTAGGTTGTGTCCAAATAGGACACCATCAGTGTCCACAATAGGCCATTCAATCGGTCTAATTTCGATTGGAATTCAATCAATATTTTCGACCAATAATCCATATTCAATGATGTTGGAGTTGAATATGCCAGTATTCAACCCAATTGTCGCAATGCGTTGGCAACTAAATATTGTCAGGGAGGGTTCAATGCCACATTAGGAGTGAAATGAAGCCAAATAGTCTGCTTTTGATACAGAAAATTCACCCAACATTCAAATTTTCTGGAGCAGAGTAAGGTTTTAATTTAATATGAGACCTCTCGCATATTAATACTTTTACTTTTCAAAATCCTACAGATTATTGTGTAATTATAATGACGATTTACACTTCGCAAGTACCTTCAAAGAATAGGGAGTCTAACACCTAAGTGAAGATGTAAACCTCATCATATCCTTTCCTGCAGTTGAACAAGAAATTGAAACAAAGTTAGCAAACAGATATGCGCATGCCTGATGCAGTCTGATGGCATTCTACACTCACCCAGCCTTCCCACAATAAGTGGGACTGTAATTGTAAATGAGGTTGTCCAGTACTTTTCGAGCAGGCGGCCTGTTTAATGACTTCCTAGCCTCACTACATCCAAAAACAAGATAGATAAGTAAAGTAGGAAGTGTGTAAAAGAGGACTGCAAATTGGAATAAATTTTCGGTTGGCTTTTGCATATCTGAATATTGATCAAATTAGGAAATTTTTTTTTTTGGGGTGTGGGGATTAAAAACTGTTTTGGCTAGATGTAGACCTTAATGCCTTACACCAGATTCTGCCAAGCAAAGTGCAAGTTGGATTTTTATCAGATAGAACCCAAGATTTGAAAGAAACTAAATGCAGTATTCAGATATCATGGAGGCCAAGAAGAATTAAGTGCTGTCTAAGTGCATGCAAAAACACACAGGTACAAGGTTCGGATAAGTCCTCTGCTCCCAGGTCCTTTTAATAACCATGAGCCCCCCCCCCCCCCCCCCCCCCCCCCCCCCCCCCCCCCCCCCCCCCCCCCCCCCCCCCCCCCCCCCCCCCCCCCCCCCCCCCCCCCCCCCCCCCCCCCCCCCCCCCCCCCCCCCCCCCCCCCCCCCCCCCCCCCCCCCCCCCCCCCCCCCCCCCCCCCCCCCCCCCCCCCCCCCCCCCCCCCCCCCCCCCCCCCCCCCCCCCCCCCCCCCCCCCCCCCCCCCCCCCCCCCCCCCCCCCCCCCCCCCCCCCCCCCCCCCCCCCCCCCCCCCCCCCCCCCCCCCCCCCCCCCCCCCCCCCCCCCCCCCCCCCCCCCCCCCCCCCCCCCCCCCCCCCCCCCCCNGGCCCCCCCCCCCCCTCCCTTCCTTCTTCTCCCCCTCAAAAAAAAAAAACCAACCCCACCACCCAAAAAAAAGGCCAGCCTACCCATTAAAATAGGACAAAAATAAGAAGAACAAAAAAAGACACCACATATAATGCAAAAATCCTCCATATCCAACCCTTCTCATCCTACCTTACAAAATAGTTTGCAACATGTTGAGTCACTTGAACCGCATCCTCTGAGTGTGGAATCATTGACAAGCCCCATTCAAAAGCATTTTTCTGCAACGTACAAGGCCATTTAGTCTTTCATACTTAAAACAGTGAAGTAAGAGAGCACCACCAGTGCGGTGCCAGTTTTTCCCATTCTGAATGTACATTTTCAGATTTTAATTTGAGGAGTACTTAATATGATAGTACCTCTGGATGCCACTGGAAAGCAGTTACAGGATAGCTGTGTGCTTGAACTGTGGAGACATAGACCTAATAAGAATGAATTCCTCAAAAACATTAGTGCCTTCTCATGTAAAGAAAAAGAAGTGAAGAGTTAAATCCAGGTCACCTGAACCAATGATCATATCCGAACTGTTACACAGAATACCTTGTTGCCTTCATCAACACTAGTTGTTAAGATCTTAAAGAAACTGCATAGATTCATATTCTCTTGAAACCTTTCTGGTGATATACCATACTGTTGCAAAGGGGAATTGGATATGTAAGCATCTAGTCAAATTAGTACACTACTAAAACAACAGCTATGGTTTCTAAACTAAAAGTTAAAGACTGCCGGAACAATAACGAAAAAAAAACAGGGTATCTCTTCAGCATAGTAACTACATCAAAGCATCATCATTCGGAATACGACAAACTGAGGGTCCAAGAATGAAATGACAATGCAATTATTTCCTGTGCCCAAATTATACTGCTCATACATCAATCGAGCTTGCTTACAAGAAACACACCATACAATTAATATCGCCTGTAAATTCCCAGGAATGTCCAAAATTGATGGCAATAAGAAATCAAATAATGGTGGTATTATTCAGTAATGCGCTCAAGCCCCAGTGCATGTATAATGAGGATACACAATGAGCAAATAGCCAGACCATAGTACATAGTTATATTTTCTGATAAGAAAATTAAATTTCATTAAATGAGGAAAAGATTACAGTATAGAGCGCACAAGAAATCCAGCCAACGGAGCATAATTATGTTTATCAAGCCTCAACACTTGAAGCTGATCATATATCGGTAGTGAATAGTGATTATGCCAAAACAAGCACCAGTGAAGTGAACGTTTTACCATGAAACAGAAAAGCCACCAATTATTTGTTACTCACATGATGATTTTGCATCACAAGGCAATCAGTACTCAACTTTCTGAGCAAATCAGGAGGAAATCTGCAGAAAATAAAAACAATAACTTTGAATTCATAACTCCAGCATGCCAGCAATTAAAGCCAACAGTACTGAAAACAAACAATTGCAAAAGTTTTGCCCCCACAGAACATCAATTAAAATGGATCTCTGATTAATCTAAGAAAAGCAGAAAAACGACATGAAATTACTTTCCTCCTTGCTGGAATATTTATTCAAATTAGCATTGTCAATCTACAATTTTATCACAACATATGTATAAAACATTTTAGAAAACAATTTGCCTGAGAGAACTAAAAAACCCATTAAATTCACTCACTCAATAAAAAACATACCTTTGAAACACTGATCCTTCAATACTAATATTTTTCATAAATTGGAGCGTAGATGCTTGATCTGTAGCACTGAATTGTTCAAGAATGTTATTGTCCTACAATCATTAACGAAAATGGCAACATCTTACAATCAAAATGAAGGGTAATCAAAATACCATGAGGAATGCATCTCTGAAAAAGTAATCATGGTTATATGCACCAAAAATGGATAAATACAATCAAGAATTAAATGCAACCCAACTTGGCATTGCTAATAATTACACCCAAAAAAATGATTTGGCAAGTAACAACACAAAAAGAAGAAATAAATTATGTATAGTCATCCCCCTCTAAATCAAATCTTATCATGCTCCAAGGAATAATATTTTCATGCTATATCCTTTTATTTCATAGATTTAAAAAAAAAAAAACTGCATAAATAAAATTACATGCATGAGAAAGCAGATACCCCCCAAAGACTTTCAGCCTTTCAACACACATATCTGTTGAGGTACCTATAAACAGAAACAAGTTATATCATCCTAATCAACAAATTTATCAATCAAAACCTTAAAAATAGGATGGCAGTTCACAAGAAGGGGTGGTACTGGCCTTAGAGTGGGAGGTTGAAGAAAAAAAGAGAAATGTGATCTGAACCAACAATGAGTGAAAACAGCTGCATAACTGCAAATGCACACAACAATCACAAACAGTTATTTCCATTTGCACAAAGCTTACCTTGCTGATGATCATTGTTAAAAGTTCAAAACCTAAGCAGATGGCCAGTAAAGGGAAATGGTCCCCTGCATCATTCTTCTTCAAAACTTTCTGCATAAAACATTATTAAATTCATAAGAACCAGTTCATGACCAGAGGTGAAGCCATTGTCAACTAAAAACTCACTTTTTAGGAATTTACTTTCAGCCGCATTGCTGAATAAGTTTATAAATCCATAAAAAGAAACCTCACTGAAGTAAACGACATCCAAAAAAGGAAAGAGAAAAAAAACATCAGTTACCTTAAAAATTGCCTCAATAACTTCAAAGTAGAGCCCACTTTTAGCCCACCCTCCAGTGAAGAGAACTCCATTAACCATATCAAGCTTCTGTGAAAATACCACCCACCCACTTGATCAATTGAAATGATGGAGAATGCAATTTATCTACTTATCTACCCAAATTTTGCTAAAAATTAAAGATTACCCAAAGAATTTGATATTTACTTTGTAGAGAACATCGCGAGGCTCATTATAAATAAGAGGAATCACCCTAGCACCTGCCGATTCGACGAACTTCACGTACGACGCGGCGATATACGAAGCGTTGGTGGCATTGTTGAGCCGACCGGAGGCGCCATCTCCCGGATGGCTTACAATTCCGATGACCGGTCGGTAATTGAGCTTGGGGTCCGGGGCGGGACAACTCGGACTGGACTCAGTGGGTAAGAGGATCGTCGATTCAGCCTTGACGGAAGTGAGTTCCTTTGAAAGAGCTACTAAGAAAGGAACCCAGAGGTAGTTCCACATATCGGGGGACGAGGAAGAGGGAGAAGATGAGGTGGAGGGTGGTGGAGACGAAATGGACTGAGAGTCGGTGAGGTTAGTGGAGGAAGAGGAGAGAGAAGGTCGTGGCGACATCGGTGAGGATTGAGGTGGTTTTGGAGTTGGGGTTTTGGAGGAGAGAGAGTGGGGTAATGATCGGAGAGAGATGGAAATGGTGTTTTGACATGGGAGGGGAAGTAAATGGAGTGGCCTAATCTGTTTGTCCGTACAGGCTGTGGGGGAATTTTGGCAGTGACGACGTCTGTTTGGCTACGAGGGTTAGGTAAACGGGACAATAAGGTGTCAATTTTTCGTCGATGGTCCCATCTTAAAAAATATAAATTAATTTTTAAAAATAATATTTTTCATTATCGATGATAATATTTTTTTGTTCATGATTTTTTGAGTTACAAATTAGATCTTTTAAAAATAATAATTTAATCTTAAAATATTGTAATTTTGTACTTTAGCTCCTTTAATACCATAAAATAATTTGAATACATTAAATTTAAAATTTATATAACCAAAAATTTTGAAATTAAATTATTCGAGTTCAAGACTCATTCGTAATTCAATCGCTGAATCATTATGATGGTTTAAAAAAATTCATATTATTAGATTTTTAACCAAATATATTTTTAATATAAAATATTCTTGCTAGTTTTTGTGTAAAAAATTCAATTATAAAAATTAAAAATATAAATAAAAAAGAAGTTTTTTGTATCTTAATTTCTTGATAAGAATAAATAAAGTGATCGAATACAATATTTTATATTTTATCACACTAAATAGCTTGAAACAAGAAATATAATATTTCTGACAAAAAAATAAAAACAAAAATATTATTTATTACTTCCTCCGTTCCGTTCCTAAATATATGTCGTTTAATATTTTTACATAGGATTTAAGGAAGTTATTAAATAGCTCTAATATGAGTAAAAAATAATCGCACAAGACTAAAATACTCTTATTCAATATGTATTGAGAAGGAAAAGAATATGAAAGACACTTAGTCTCTATTAAATCTAATGTATTAAAAAGTTAAAGACAAATTTGGAAGAAAAAATATTAATTATGTTTTGATTTCATTAAACGACAGATATTATAGAACAAAAAAAATTATATACAACAACAGATATTTAGAAACAAAAGGAATATCTTTCAAACTTAGAATTTAGCCAATTTATTGTAATTAATTTTTTTCCATTAAACAACGCCTTATTTACGTACGTGAAACAATAAAATTTAATACAAAATACTGAAAAATATTTTTGGTGGATCAAAACTCTTCGTACTCGGGCCAATGACCTACCAACCCTATAAATAGCTCAAGCGATATTTAAGACAAGCTATAATTTAGATATTAAAAGTTTGAACTTAGTCTTAGCGTAGATGGTCTATTTTTTATCAGACTGAAAAAAAAAATTAGTCGAGATACACATAAATTGACCCGTGCTTAACCTATAAACCCCAAAAAAAAGGCCTACCTAGCATGTACCATCACCAGCAATTATCTGAGCTCCAAGCCTCAAACAAATGTAACTATAGAAACACAGACATGGTTTTGTTCACAACCCTCCGTTACTATTTCCACGTACTCAAAACTCCAAAATCCTTCAAATTTCCTCAAATCCCGTCTACATAGGCCTTTCATTGCAACCCACCTGAGCTAGAGGAAATGTTGTTGATAAAATGTTTGTGTGTGTGTGTGTGTGTGTGTGTGTGAGAGAGAGAGAGAGAGAGAGAGAGAGATCACCAAATCCAATTGAAATTACCACTTCAACCAATGATCTTTTGCACAGGAAATCGATTTTAAAACTATGGTCCACAGTTAAATGTACAGAGTTTCCATTCATCCCATCATATTGTTTACAGTTGAAGACCCAGATTGTTTACAGTTCTTTTTCTTTCCTGGCTTTCTGTATTCTGTACAGCCCCTTGGGTAACAATTGCTTGATGTTGAAAAAAGAATAGTGATATGATAAGGAGAAGACATGGCCACAGAATATACAGGTAGGTCGAGCATCCAAGGCAGCAGACTTTTTTGGGATAAATTTTGGAACCTAAAACCCTTGTAGCAATCACCTTTCAAGTTTCTTGTACAAACCGGACAGTGCATGATAGAGAATAGCTGCTGCAGGAGGTGATGGCAATGCCCCGAGAAGAATATCTGACGCATTGATGTTTGGATTACCATAGAATCTAGCATTTTCTTTCGTTCGGGTTGTGACGATGCTCCCTTCAAGTGAGCATCCAACAAATGCACCTATATTTAACCACATCATGCAATTGCAGCATGGAAAACCACAATCTTGGCTATTTGGGTACTCCAAAAAGAAATTTCACTAAGCAGACCAATGTGTATTGGCAAAGACGTACCTTTACTGCAGCTATAGGTATAGCAAGCGGCATAACCACCATCACCAGCCCGAAAATCAGCTTCAGCAGCCCTTCCAACTGTCCCAACAGCAGCACTCAAACCTGCTCCAACTGACAAATGCCCATATCCACAAAATGTCTTGACAGCATCAGTTGTTCTCAACACAATTATGAAATCTGTCAGCTCACCTCCAACCTGTTCCAAATTACATCACAAACTCATGAAAAAGTGACCATGCAAGTTGATACAAGTAAATTCATTAAAAAAAGAAAGTAAAGGTTTTACATTCCCAATTGACAAGTTCTAACCCCATTTTTTTACTTTCAGGTGCAAACTTTGTCCAAGAGAGGGCAACTCTTCAAAACAACACCATCCAACAAAGACATTTGAATTTAATCATCAAGTTCAGGAGAAAAACCGAGCATTTAATACTAAACTGAAACTATCATCCCCCATCCCCTAAAAAAACAATGGAAAAGTCAAATAAAATAAGCCTCAACAAGTGCCCCAAAGGAAGCCTCAACAAACCATGCAAGACGCCCAGATTTACATTTATAGGATGCAAAAATTCCAAAGAAATTTGTCAATAATTAGCAAAAAGTGACCCTTCAGCACCGTTAAAAGGGCTCACAGCCTTTGAGAGCATGGAGATCCTTTTTCACCTCAATGTCACAACCAAAGCAACAAAGGCAAACTTTCAAACTGGAAGCCCTAAACTTTTGGCACACGGTCACTAGCAAACACCGATACCTTAGTGATAAAGCACATTTCAAAATGAGGAACACTTCGATTCAGAAACAAATTTAGCGGCCCAAATAATCTTTTCCTAAATCATGTCAGTAGTATACAGTACAAAAAGTGTCAATAAAAAGCATCCAAGTAAAATCAAATAAGATAAATTTCTCTACGGTGATGTTAAGGAAAGATTGGAATAACACCTCACACCAACTGCCTAACTTGTCTACAGGTTTTTGTGGTTTGCTGCAAATTGAATTGCCAAGCAACACACTAGGAGTTTCTCCTTGCATCAGCTGACAACAAGGGGAATTTCTTCAGTGGTTACCAACAAAACAGNGCTTTAGTTTGAATGTCTACGACTTGAAAAAAAAATTATAGTTGATTTTGAATATTATTTTTTGGTGCAATTGGTTTCATTTATTTATTTTTTTTATTGGCAATTAGCTTGGTTTTGAATTTTTGGATTTTTGTGATTAGTTTGGTTTTGAATGTCTATGAATTTTTTTTAACATTTAAATATTTTTTCTTCTATAAAATCATACAAATGTATGACTAAGAAGTACCGAAAATAGCAATAGCCTATTTCACACATAATATTTAACAATAATAAAATCATGTCAAAACTGCAAATTTTGAATAAAAAAGTACTGAAAATAACAATACACATTTAACACATAACATTCACTCACAAAAAAATGGTGATGGTGATTAGATTAATATAAATCATATTTAAATCCAAAATTTAATACAAAATTTAAATTCGAAGAAATTAAATGTCAATCGATTGATATTCCTGAATTAAATTCACAGGAGAGACTGAGGAATAAAAATTTCTGTAAAATAAATTTTTCTTAAATGTGAGGCCTATAAAACTATTTTTGTCCTTTGAGTTCCCTCTTTCTCAGACTGTTGCCTTCTCCTCTGTGTCTCTGGCTCGCCACCATGGATGTTCTATGTTCCACAGCGAACTGGGATCAATATTGAACAATCTCAAATACCCATAAGGCCACGTGTCCTATTGGATCATTTCATAATCTCCAATTCTTCGAGGATTATTTCACACCATGGAAATGTCAATCCCTAGTCTATGATCACTGGTTACTCCCCCCCCCCCCCCCCCCCCCCCCCCCCCTTCCTTTTTTCCCCCAAAAAAACAACTAATGCGGCATAATTTCCACGAACCAAAAAAAAATTGACCCATCATTAGGTGGACATTTCTATTGAAAAGAGGATGAACATATTCCCCTTTCCATCCAAAGCAACAGAATAACCAAAATAATGACCCAATATCCACAACAATCTAAATAAACTTCACCTGAGCTCCCCAGCCGATGCCAAAAGATGAAATGGCAGATGGAGAAGACCAAGATCCATCTTTTCTACGAGCAACAACTAGTCCTGTTCCAATATGATAGGTCATCATCACACCAACCTTTGCAATGGTAAGAATTGCAAGGCCTTTTGCTTGTTTCAAGATAGCATCTGGAATGGTCTTTTCAGGTGTCAAAGTTCCAACCTGAGCAATAATATTCTAGGTGTCATGAAAATACAAGAATTTGGACTTATCAAACGTACACTTTTCAAGGTAAATATACAAAAAATACTAAAACAAGTAACAATCCACAAAAAAGAACAACCCTATTTTCAGTACTTTTTGAGCAAGTATCCAGTAACAATGTTGGTTGAACTAGTCAAGAATCATTTACATGAACGTAGGCACCTGGACAAACCAGCTAAGTGCAAGACCCATCTAATAAAAGTGGTAATTATTTCTTCACTCGAGAATACTCAAGCAAAACCTTCATGGAATCAAGTGAAAAAATGAGGTGCTTCTTGACATATTTAAGTTGTGCTCTTTTTCATATTTCTTCAAGGGAATCTATAGTAATTACTACTAACAAAGAGGTCAAGTATCAACCTAGGTCAACTCAAGAACTTATGTACAGACTACGGACACACGTACATGAATATAGCAAAAACAAAATCTTACTCTGCTATAACCCCGGATGGTGTTTGTTGCTTTATAAATTTCATATTCCATAGACTGGCCCCATGGGAAATTGAGCCATGATCTCAATGTACTAAGGTCCATCAGATCATGCGTTGGCAACTGTGCAGCACGACTTACTTGGTCCATTAAGTATGACTGGACCGACTCAAGCCGCACGCAGCATACATCACAGACTCGTTGTGGGTCCCCAGTGCGGAATTTTACAGGCAATAAACTCCTCCCCTTGGAGCACTGATTGCAAAATAGCCCTCCACAAAACCGGCAGTGGTGTCTAGAACACATGATAGGATGGAAACGCACATTACACAGCATGCAAGCAGAAGCAGCACTGTCAGGCAACCATCTTGGTGGCTCTGCTTCGAGGATTTCCTTTATGTTACCGAAATTAGCTTCTGTAAGAGTCTGAGCCATCTCTCTCCAAGCTTGCTCAAGAAGATGGTTCGATATCCATGATATCCCACATTTACGGGCATCACTCAGGGAAAGAGCACTCACTTTTCCTCGGGCCACAAGTAACAGTTCAAGAACCACATCCCACATAGTCATCTCCTTTTCTTCTCCAACAAACTGATTCCAACCAATGGCCCCTTCAGGGAAGTAGTTGCCATTCAAGTAGAGACCTCTATTCCACTCTTCACGGTCTCTTTCTGACATCGGTGGAACAGAGACAGGTATCCAAATCCCCGTTTCTTCAGATAGTGGTGAGTCATAATAAAAATATTGACTCAGCTTCTGATGACCAGCATCTGAATCATTATAGTGTGTTCTGCCATCAGGTGTCTGAGTTTCATCATTTCTCATCTGTCTCGTCTCTTCTACTATAATGCTCGCTTTTGCTGATGAATCACTGTCTTTCCTGTCTTCTTCAACCACTCTAGAAACCTGAACTCCAGCAACCAAGAAAGTTGGATCAATTTAAAGAATCAGCAGTTCAAAAAATGATTTGAAAAGAAATGATAGAAGAATTGTCAAGAACAATTGCACCTTCGATTTTATCTTTGCACAACATATTGATCAAGTGCAATAGTTAGCCATCATTACAACTATGATCCATCACTATAGTTCTAATTATAATCTATCGTTACAATGATAGATAATAAATCAATAGCCATCAACTGGAAGTAACAAAAGACTGCTAATGAGAGTGATTCTGAACCTTGATACAGACATATAATGAAACTCTTTATGCATTGCAGATATGCTTCCCATAAATTCCACTTTTGCTCTTTATTCGCACTCCACACTTCCTTCCAGGATAGCAACTCTATAATTGGGAAACAAAACCTACTGTTGAGAATCACACTTCCATACCTGATTCATAGATGCTATTAGTGTAAGAACATTTACTTTTCCTAAGGAACATGCAAAAGCTACATGCGAAAACATCCAATAAACTCCCATGTGAAAACATCCAATAAACTCCTAGTACCCTCAAATACTTCCGATCTGTTTGCAACACCTCTGTTGTCCTTATCCTGTTTCTATTCCTTGAAGCTTCTTGAACATGCCCATTTTTCCCTCCACCTAGCTTCTTCACATATAGCTATTTCATAGCCCTAACTTTCAGCTTCTACTGTACACTCCTATATGTACTCTTAAACCTGTATTTAACACAATGGGAGAGGAATATCTCTGACTGGGTTCTTAACGAAACAAACAGAACACGTTTTCTACCTTCTAATGTGCATGCCATTACTTCAAAATAAACTCCTGGATTTTAATTTGCTTGAATTTTTGAGTTTTTTTAACTCCACACACACACACACACACACACACATGCATGCAGAAAGAAACAACGTTCACAGATTATTGGTACCAACAAATTATGGATTATGGAGAGAAATGTATGTTTCATCTCCCAAGTGACTCCAAATTAAAGGGCTTTTAAGGTTGTTATTCTCATCCTAAAATTTCCTTTGCTTGACCTGGGCTAATGAAAATTCTATTTCAAATTAATATTCTTCAATCTGGTGCTTCTTGTTCGTTTGTGTTTTCCTGTTTGATCAAGAAAAACTCACAGAACATTATGAAAAAGGGGGCAACCCAAGGACATCTGAGATATACAAAACTAAAAGCTAATCTATCTATAGTAGAATAAATACCTCCGAAAGAATATAAACACTATAAGTCATCAAGCCTATATATCCCAAGAACTAGAACACTAAACACCATGTTCTATATCCTCAAAATAGGAAATGTCAAACCACACAAGCTTCCTATTGCTCTTGCACCATATACAAAACACCAAGGAGCAGTCATCCAATCTTCCCCCCCCCCCCCCCCCCCC